CAACCTCACCCCGGCTGCCAGGTTTCTTTGCACACAATCTACCGTTGTTGGGATCCGAATGAGATTTGTGCAGTGACGGCTCGTGATATTCAGCGCTAGTGGTTTGTCTACGAAGGCAGCGCCTTCCCCTGCCTACCCCTTCTCCATAGACAAATCACTAGCGCTAAATATCACGAGCCGCCACTGGACTAGAGTGTCCTCGCAATGTTTTTGCTGCGTCATACGATTCTCCCCGGGGACCTCGTACGATGCTACGCAAATGTGCCTGCCTAAACCGACCACCTTTACGAAGATGATAGGGAGTACGATGACATCAAGAGCTACCGATAATTTTAATTGTTGCAACTACTCATGACTACCTTCTAAAATTAAGTTCTTTATCATCTTGAAGCTTGAAAGCATTGGGGGTTGTGATTCAAGATGTTTTTCACTGTATCATCATATTCTTGAGCAGGGCCGGATTAAAGGGGGGGCTGTTGTCCCGGGCCCCACTCTTCCAGTTCCAGAGGGGCCCCTGAAGGAACTTAAAAACGTTAAGTATTTGCATGAAGTGGAGGGGGGGAGGGGGAAGAAATTCACTTACCCCGGGCCTCGCAACTTCTTAATCCGGCCCTGTGATAGAGCAGTACTAAAGGTTCACTACCTCCTCGTTCGCCTTCCCCTATCTTGCCCATCCTCCCCTCCCTATTCCCTATTTAAATATGTATTAGGGTTTTGTGGAATTCAGGGGGGATTTCGAATCTCCCTAGGGAGAGACAGAATTTCGCTAAACCCGCGGGTTTAGCGAAATCCTCTCAAAGTCGTGTCAATGTCACAACACCCTAGGGAGATTCCATGTCTCCCTGGCTCGAAAATTACCCTTCCCACGGCATTTCCCGCCGAGGGCAATTCTCCTTTCGTTTGTATCTGAAGAATGCCATGCTTACTTCTGCCTGCCACTAACGAATTGTTGACAACCATGTACTTCTTTGCATCCCAAGAACAGACAGAAATATGTCGTGTCCCCGGATCCTGCGGGTGAAACTCGCGAGAGTGGTAAAGTAAGAAGGTGGCGGTTTTGGGGGACTTCCGCTGGCGTAACTGACTCGCCTTTCGTGCCAAAACAGTTAGTAAAGGCAACTGACGAGCGCTGTGGAGGCGCCTCGTGGCGTGACGGTGTCCTTGACGAAGACTTCGAGAGCAGGAACAAGCTACGCCAGTGGGGATGCAGGATCCATCTGCAAATACAAGAAGTCTTGCCGCACCAACAGATGCAGGTGTAAAAGATGGCAAGACATACTCATCCAGTTTCATGAGGGAAAGCCGTGCGACCTCCCAAAATGAGAAAGGTTTAATCGACTCTGTTTCGAATATTATTGACGTTGATTTTTTTATTGCTACACATGGACTGAAGTGAAATTCCATTTCCCCCGGGTGTCTTGATTCTCCCGATCCCTAGGGGTAAACAAAAAGAAGCAGTGGCGGCTAATCCGGGTGATTTGAAATCCCCCTAGGGGGAGGTGACATAATGGAGGATTTCGAGATTTCGCTAAACCTTCCATCGTCTCCGTTACGTCGTAACTTCAGCGGAGCTAGACGATGACTGGACCGAGATCGTACTGGCATTTTTACATTCAATTCTAGTCGTATTCCCTAAGTGGACGAGTTTGAAAAAGCATTAAGTTGAGCTTCTTCATTAATTCTTGTGGAATATTAGCGTCCCTCTTGCGATTTAGCGTCAAATTTTCACAGGATAAACTGAAAATTGCATTGTTCAGTTATTTCAGGTTGTGAAATCCCTTCTTGGAAATTCGCATATCGCAGATGCTTTGTTCATTGTAATCCGCTTCTGAGCACCTCTCGCACCGTGAACCTTAAATTCGACGACAGCTGCGAAATATGTTTTGGGGCCATCTAGCGAAGCTTATATGGACATTTTAGATCCGTGCCATCATGAACGTATGTCCACTTCTCCATTATTTTTTGTGAGATGTCGTCTTGTATGTAGAAATGTACATATTAACTCTTCGATACTTTTCACTGTTTTCCAATCGTTCATGATTCAAAGTTGTATTTGTTAATTTTTTATTATTTGCTGTTTCTTATATAAAATCCTGTCATTCGCTTTGTCGGTTTCTTCATAAAAACCCGACGTTTTCTTTTTATTTCAACGATGGAAACGATCGAGGCCATTCGAGAAGGAACGAAGGTAGGAAGACTTCACGCACACGAAGCATAAGATTCTGTGGCAATGCGCGCAGAGTGTGCGGAACTGCAAGGGCAGCATCTTCGATATCAGCAGCGGGGATGATCGAACCTTAACCGTCATGCATCCGACATGGAAGCCATCGAGGAGATCACCATGTGCCATAACGCCACGAAGGAGAGCGCAGGATATTTTCATGGCAACCGAGACTTCCGTCATGCAAGGAGTTTGGGAATTGTTTTGGTTAAACACGTGAGGGCTGTTTCTATCGTCTCGCGCAAAGGACATGGCGAAAGATCCACGTTCCATGATGAAATGATACTTTCCGTCATTTTAAAGGGATTCTGGATGACCTCGCGTTCACTATCTTCTGTGACCGAAGGAATGCAGTTCTTCTTGAATTCCTTCTTTATTGCTATACTGCTAGAACAAAAGCAAACGTCACCATGAAGCCACATATCATGGAATCTAATGCCATGTCCAGTTCCACGAAGGAAAGATTCCAAAGTAATTGTTCCGGTCACATATGTGGAGCATAACCAATCGGCACAACAATGTTGTCAGGGCCGTGGGATTTCATTTGGGGGGGGGGGTTGAGGTCTGGCGTACGCGCTGTGGCTATTTTTTTTATATTTGTCATTGTAAGTCTTTGTGACATATCTAAACTTTCCTGTACGTTGCAGTGTGTAATAAGTCATAAGCTATTAAAGACAGAAAAGACCAAGTACTGCACCGTTTACACCGACGAATAGCAGTATGGCAAACATTTAAGGAAGATATTTCGGGGGGGGGGTTTGAACCCCCCACCCTAAATACGGCCTTGAATGTTGTGTCAGCGTTGAGAAAAGGTTGATTTTTCAACTCGACACGCTGTCTCGACGTTGCCCCAATATTGAAATGAACGTTGAAGAAGTGTTGTTGTGTAACGTCGTGTCAATGTCGAATCGTCAACGTACGGGCATTGTATAACCTCCTCCCTTATCCATAGTCTAAAAGAGCGTTAATTAGCCGGTGAGATCGAATATCGATTCGATAACCCCACGGAGAGAACCCAAATGGTATGATGCAAACCGAACTCAATTGAGTACAATCATCTCACGTAAAGGACCCTCAAAGCCTTATTTCCTTTACTGGATCAGAATTCAAATTGAGTACTTTTGTGACTCGACTCTCTCCGTTCTGTAAAGAACAACCCCGCGGGCATGTACTCGTGCCCTATCCTCTACGGAGGAGCTCGAGAGAATGTATGTGTCATGTGGAGATTTAGGAATATGGAGCATGTCTCCTCGGACCCACCGGCCAGAAGTACCCAAGTCTTCTGCCCGATCACCTCCTTAAACAGGTCTATCGAGAAATTCCTATACCTTCCCTCGTGTCGTAAATGGGAAAAGATCGGGTACCGTACGAAAAATGTTGGGTACCGTTTGTTTCGGGACATCGGGGTGGAAAACGTGGAATCGGCGGTTAGGCGCATCTCGCGTCGATTCCTAGAACTTATTTTTTATCGATACGATGTGGACGACTCCACGTCGAAACGACACTGAGAATTCGATGAAAAACGAATACTCTCTTAATAGCCTCTGAACTACGTTCCTAATTCACGAATAATCACCAAATGCTGAAAATACGGTTAATTACGAATAGCTAGCATTTCATCGATGTCGATTTTTCGTCGAATTCTCAACTTCGACGAATTCTCAACCTTTTCTCAATGTGTTGACCCAACGTTGTTGTGCCGAATGGGAGAAGCTCTTCAAATGTGCTTGTTGACCCCTATAATGAAAGATTCTCCCGCTTCTTCCGAGAGAAAGTACAATGAAGCTCTAAAGCAGACTAGATGCACCATTGAACGTTGTTTTGGGGTTTGGAAGTCGAGATTCAGGTGTCTGCTCAAGTCATGCGGATCGTTGCAAGTGGCACCTGGAAAAATGTTGCAAAATGGTTGTACCTTGTGCGATATTCCAATGTACAGAAGAGCTGGAGTTTCAGACCCTGACATTGAGTCGGAAGATGCTACCGTCGCTGATGATGCTGACTTGAGAAGCTCAGATGCACCTGCATCAAATAATGCCAAGGCTTTTCGAGAGAGTGTTATGAGACGCTTTCAATAAAGTCTTCCGAATCTGTCGAGATTAAGTACTTTTCTCAGACAAAATAATTAGGAACAGCCACGACAGATTTTAAAGGGCTGTTTAAATGGCCTATTTGGGTGATATTACATCCTCAGCTAAGCGGACGCTGAGTCCAATATTATGCATTCCAATTACGCTAATAAATATCCTCTAACCTCCAGATAACAGTATAATAGCCTCATAGTAAAGAATACTCTCCTACAGTCGTTGCGGGCCCCAAGCTTTTAAGATTAAGAGAATCGATAACGTGGAGGGGAAAGAAAGGATTTTACTACTGGATGGTGACAGCCAAGGGGGGAGTCAGTTCGAGTTGCGAAAGCATCAAGAGAGTCTCAGGTCGCGGAATAACTTTTTCACCTGTTGAGTGGTTAATGCATGCAGTGCGTTAGAAGATCATCGTTAGAAGATATTCGCTGCCACTTCACGGAAGGGGCAGCCACTGCCGTGAATAAAATAAAAAAAGAGCAAAATAGTAGGAGGCGGGCAGGCAGTAGAAGGTGGTGCTCCCCCCCAAATGTCTTTAAGGATAGGCCTAACACATTTTTAAATGAACGTTCGACCTTTGCCTGAGATGTTACAATGGGTAGAGATGCCTCCTGACATTCCTACTATTAATCATGAATCTTGGAGCTGCTTGAGGACCGACAGACAGCCGATGCGACTAACGTCACTTTCAGGTATGGCTGCCTACTCGTGAAGTGAGGATCTCTTTCCGTCGATCGGTCCCTTAAGAGGACTGGCGCACGAAAGACCCTTATTCGGGTCAAGTAGGCCGAGGAGGCAAAGGCTCAGGCCTACAGATTTAGGTCGTTATTCATAAGAATTCGGAGCATGGGAAGTTGGAATGTATTGAGTTTGGTGGCTGCAGGATTTTCTAGCATCGTGATTCTAGGTTGCATCTGTTATTACAACAAAAAGGTTAGTGTGGCCCTCGGGCTCAGCAGTGCGATGTTTGTCAGAATTCATGAGTACCATAAGCCATTCTTTTAATCCCCCTTCCCCTAACATTCAATCTTGCCCTCATTCCAGAAAGACAATCAGGATAATCTCCCTGAAGAAGGATGTGAAAACAAAAGAAGTTCTGAGTACATGGATGGGATTTCTGGAAAGAAGCAACAGACGGAGAATTTAGTCAGCATGTCTGAGCCTAGCAGCAGTTTGGAATCGCCATCCTCTCTGGGTAGAAGTGGTGAACCAAGTAAAGCTCAGGAACAACCACCATCAGTGACTAAGGATATTGGGGCCAGAAATGGCAAAATACCTGAAGAGCATGAACCCAAGAAGAGAGTTGGGGCAGAGTGTGACTCTGAAAATAGGAAAAGAAAAGACCAAGGAAGCAAAAACCACAATCAGCCCTCAACACTTGAGGACTTTGGGTATTGCTTCAATCAGGGTTGGTTATACAGTTTTTTGTTTAAATTTACTATCAGATGTATATCAACCAAGTCCGTGGCCTACTAGCCTTGTAATATCCCCAATCATTACAACTTGGTAAATATAGGGTGTCCATAAAGTGACTACGTATGGGCAACTTTTATACTGAATCTAGAGAACCAACTTTTTTTATTTTTGTAGGCTGTCTATCATTAGACCTCAGAAAAAAGTTCAAAGTATGGGCAAAAAAGTTGCCCATAGGTAGTCACTTTATGGACACCCTGTATTAATCTGAGTGGGGATGAGTAATTTCCTTGGTAATGAAAATCATGGCAGTTTCCCAGAAAGTTCCTGCTGAATGCCAACAGTTAATTTGCACTTGTTGCTTTATGTTCTTTTAATATTGATTTCCACCTCTAGAATCTTCAAACTCTGATGAGAACTCATTCTTGGACCATTTCATGGTTTTTCTGTAAAATTGAAATAACAGGTTTGCTCTCAATTGCTTCTACTTTTTTTTTATAGTACAGGAAATTGATTTTTAAGAAAATGAAAAGGAAAGCTGCTCAATTCTTCAAGCATTGAAGATAGGACACCTGGAGGGAGTGAGACCAGGGGTCAGTTGCATTGCCTCAGTAAAGTCAGACTTTCATGAACTGAAAGTCAGACTTAGGAGACATGGTAAACAGGCTCCCAAAATCAGACTTTGCATGTAAGTCTGACTTTAACTGCAGCAGTGCAACTGACCCCTGATCTTTGGAGGGGCCAGACAGTCTTGGGGCTCTTGATCATTGTCTCTGTATCTTTGGATAAAATACCCTCGCTTCCATCCATTGACTATTTTGGAGGCGCACGGGATCCAGGGTAGGACGAGTGAGTGGATCAGTANAAAAAAAAAAAAAAAAAAAATACAAAAATATTTAGCTTTAAGAGGGTTAGGCCTACCCTAAAATTAAGGAACGCTCGACCTCGACACGTGATATCGAAATGGGCAAAATCGCCTCTTGATATCACTAACTCTCCTGACTCCTGACTATTAAAATCTTTCATTCGTTCAGTGATTTTCAATTGATTGCATCCCCCCTGTTGTGATGGAAGTAGGAGATACTTAATTACTTAATTTCCACTTCAGTCACAAGCCATTTAGCCAGGGCAGTTATTTTGAGTCAGCAGATATCCCTCAATTGGATGACATGTGCCGTTTGGAAGGAGGTAGGGGAGGTGTAATTGATTGAAAGTCACTATCAGAACCCTTACAAGACTGAGATACCTAAACAAGAAGAAAGCAGGGAAAGAACCAGGAATGGGAGGTTCAAAGAGCAGAAATTAGAATAGTGGCTTGAAAAAATTGGAATGACAACTGTTGAGAGGTGACAAAATATAAAATTCACATTTTTCCTTTTCTGGGAAAGCTGTTATTTGCATTTCTATATATTTTGGACATTTTATTATTAAACAGGAGCACTTTGCCTCCCAGTCCATCTTGCACATCTATTTCAAGCCATTCTACCCCAAAGATACACTTTTGCATTGGTCATGGGTCTCTCTGCCCTCCCCCTCTGATTAAAGACGAATCAGACTGATAAAGCATCATCATTAGACTGGTTCCATTAATCCTCAACCTAAGTAGGTAGGTTTAAGATATAAGTCAGTGGGAATATGTGGCACAAAATTGATTTGATTTTTAAATCAGCCAGCCATTAGAAGCCTTGGTGTGCCCAGCTAAAGATACATGTAGCTAGCTAATTTTGATGGTGAGCATACTCATTGATCTCTCTTTATATTCTTCCATTCATGGAGTGGCAAATGCCTTATGTTCCACGTTCATGCATTTTCACTTGGACGTACCTTATCCTGGATCTATTTCTCAAAATTATAGAGCTCTGGGAGCAGTTAGTCAAAATGAGTGATGACATGTCAGGGGTCTCTTGTAGCAACTGTACCCTTTGACAGAGCCAAAAGAAACATGTATGGCAAGCTGACGAAAAGCCTCACGAGAGGTTTCAGAATGTACCTGTTAGCTTCTTATGTGGTACCTCCTACCATTCTAGTCATTCATGCTCAGGGTGGGACCTTGGGTACCCTTCTCTGCACTTTTAAGAAGAATATGAGTTAAATATGCTGAAAACAGATCCCCATTGGATCCTTCAGTTGTTTTGTGGAACATGTCACTATAGAATATAGGAAGGTGGTATCAAAATATTTCTGTTGGTTTTTGGATCTATAAATGCAATCCTTAATGAATGGATGCCTGGAAGTCCGAATGCCTTCTTGGCATTCTGGCTTCAGATTCTTCCAGGATTCAGTTGATTTGGGTTATAGATGGTGAACTGAGGAGGATAATGGATGGAGGGAGATTTGTGTTTGAAGAGAAACCTGGTGATCATGCATATAATCAAGCCAGATACGAGGAGCTTGGGAATGTAAGTTGCTTTCCTCCCCCTACCATTTCTTACACAGACCATAAAGCTCCTTGTATAATTTACTGTTATTTATTATATCTAATTTGCTCTTGGTATTTCCTTGCTCTTTGTTGTAGCAGTACCTTTATTTTGTAGGTGATCACAGAATATATCTATGGCCTCCTGGAGGATCCCAAGCATTGTGACTTGAATCGCGTGGACATTCCCTTGAAAAAGGAAAAGGGGAATGCAAAAAAGGATAAGAGATCCTTCATTTTTGTAAGCAAGGATTTGGACAAGAAAGAGGATATCCTTATACTTATACACGGCAGTGGACCTGTGCGAGCAGGGCAATGGGCTCGAAGGTCCCTTCCTCTCCCTCTTATGTTGTCAAGAGGCCTTAGAAGAACTCATCTGTCATATTCCCTTTTCTTTTCACAGGTTAATCATGAATGAAAACTTGGAGAAGGGGACTCAAATTCCCTTCATTAAGGAGGGAATGAGACTAGGATTTGGGATCATTGTCCTCAATACCAATGATGCTGCTTCTAAACAAGTCCATGTATGCACTCCTTCCTTCCTTCCTTCCTTAGTTTATTTTTAAATTAAAAAAAAACTTCTGAAGACAGCCATTGTTACTGTGAAAGCCAATCTTGGCTGTTTCCATGGCTCATTAGAGTACGTTAATTGTAGTCACTGCATCCTTCCATGTCAAATGGTCCTAAATGGTCTTCCCACCTGAGCTGATTTGAGATAACTCAAAATGGGAGAATCCATGTTGGCATCTACTCCAGTAGCCCTATTCAGCTTCTCCAAATTTGCATTTCCATCATGACAATGAGTATCACAAAAGTGATACAAATAATATGTAATACTAACAACTAATTCTTTCATTTAAAAAATATTAGTGGCCTGTGGCTGCTATGCTGGCCATCTTATGGGTTGAAATTTTAAAATGTTTACATGAAGATATAAGCAGTTCAGTTCAAACCAGACATTTAAAACTTTCATTATCTCTTCTTTCAAATGGTGTAAACCATGTCTCAATCAAATCTAGCTTTACTAAGTAATTAATTTTCAGAAGGTAGGCAGGACTCTTTACACACCCGGTGGTAATTGCCATCTACCGAGGGAGTCTTTTAAAAGTTGATTTAATACTTTCGCTGCCAAGCCATTATTTGGAGGCCGTTCCCCCGAGGCCAAAGTAATCCTCCTAATTCTGGTGTGCTTGACACAAGCGATTCCGTGAAAGATGAAATCCACTGGAGATGATGAACGCATGGGGCGGCAATCGACAAGCCGTAATGACTGTCGGCAATCAAACGGTACCTATGTCGTACCGTTGAATTTCCAACCAATCTTGGAGTGCCATTGCTCCCATTAGGTCTAATCGTTCTTGTTTAATAAATAAATTCCTATTACTTTTCGAACACCCCTCGTATATATAAAGACTCCCGTAATATGCCCTATACGCAGAAATGAAGAAATAATTTCCACGTTACCCTTATACGGAGATATGCTTATATTGAAAGCATTGTAAAAAAGAAATGAGAAATGAAACACCGCCAATTTGATTTAAAACTGACCTCATCAGAAGGCGACGATAAAATTCGTAAGATGAAAGGAAGAGGTCCATAGATTGTATCCCGCAAAGCAATGCAAACCACCCATCGGCAGGTCGTATGATCTGGTAGAAAGAACCTGTATGACCTGCCGGCGGGTCGTATGACCCAGGAGGAGAGAGCCCTTGCGACCTGCCGGTGGGTCAGCGAAAGTGTTAAAGATCACAAGTGACCTGAGGTTAATGCACAGTGTCACAGTTTGGGCTGTAATCTGGTTGGGAGGTATCATGGGGATTCTTTTTTGTTGCAGTGGTCACTGGAGTTCATACCTAGTGCCCCCCACCAACAAGCTCTGTAGACACAACAATGACTAAATGAAAAATTTTCCTACTTTTGGATTGGACAGTGGCCCAATGGAGGGTCTCTTTATTCAATCCTCTGAGATCACTTGATTTGACACCATCTGATTTTTTCCTTTGGGAAGTATTGAAAGATCATGTGCATGGTAGGTGGCCATGGACTGTTTTTGCATTAATGGGTTGTTAAGTACAGCCCATCCAGGCCAAGAAAGGACCGCTTTTAATCCACAAAGGAGACCAAGTAACTCATTTATTGTAATCAAGCCCTTAACCCCTTCCTTCCCTCTCCGCCAAATGTCATTCATGCCTACAGCCAAAGGGTGGGTTCAGTGGCATCCTGCTTCAAGTGGGGGAGGGGCAGGCCACCCCGACCCGAGATACAGATCCCTCAACATGCAACTTCTCATAGACTGTCTTATGCTAAGCTTCCAAGTACGCCTTTGTGGCCCTTTTTAAGATTCTGTTCGGTCTCCTGCTGGGCTTTGAGAAGTTATAAGAAATGTCACCCCATTATGGGTCCATGTTGACTGGTCCTTTCTGGGTCTGGACAAGCTGTAATCACCAATTTGATCCATTGCTTGTTTGAATTTTTACCAGAGTGTTGTTCTGTTTCATCATGACTGCAAACATGTAAAGAAGTTGGCAATGTTCAAACTGAATGTTCTGAATGAAGTTATTTGCAACTTCCAATTGAGAATTTTCCAGGTATGTGGCATAATGATTTTTGGTCTCTCCTTTTTATGGTCTTTTTTGTTTCCAGAGTTCTGCTCCTTCAAAGAGTGGGTAGTTTATTTTTGGAACACCCTGTATATTTTAATTGTTGGCTGAATTTTAACAAATGGAAAGGCAGGACTTGTAAGAAATGTGGTAGTAATGGTCATGCTGTATGACCATTTGTTAAGAATTGTTGTTGGGGTGCAGGGAAGCGAGAGTGGAGAGAAGCATGCCATATATGTGTGGGACCAATTCCTCAAGGGAAAGGAGAAGAAAGTTGGTATCATTGCCCACAGCTATGGAGGAGTTGTTACCATGCATCTTGTGAGTTTTCTCTTGCTATTAACCCTTTGCACTTTGTTTTTCTCCCCATACTATAGACATTGTTGGGTCATGCCCTGCACCCTACAGAGTAAATATTGATCTAGCTTCCTATTTCACATGAGAAATGCAAAGATTTCCTGAAAGAACATGATAACTTGGATGAAAAAGGTGCAATACTGGTGCATTAGGTATTGATGTGCATATGAATAATACAGAGTGGCACAAGAAAGGGCACTCTTTTCAATGCACATTTTAGGTGTGATGCTTTCAGGGATATTTTTTCCATTAAATGCAATGGAAGGAAGAAAGATTAGCTATAAAATACTTTTTTCCATCTTGCAATATCTTAAACTTAGAAACAAATTATTGTATTTTGGTTATGAAAAATCTGCATTGCACTCGCTAACTCTACCCAACATCCACTCAACAGCCTGATACTCATGAGAAGAGAGAGTGAAACACTGACAGCAGATGTGAGGATAATTGAATGTGCCTGTCGCCATATGTGGTAGGTAAGTGCAATGTTGATTTTTCACAACCAAAATCAATCATTTTTTTCTAAGTCACCCCTTAAGATACTCCCAAGTCTGAAAAAAGCCTTTTGTAGCTGAATCTTTCTTCTTTCCATTACATGTAACTGGGAAAAAATTCTTGAAAAAACACNAACTGATGCATAGGGCCCTGGCAATCTCTCGCACGGTCACTCGCCTGTCCTCCATCACAAGCTCTTCCACGGCTGCCACATTTTCTTCATTAACTGAAGTGGAGGGCCTTCCAGTCCGATGGTCATCATCAAGGCTTTGCCGACCACTCTTGAAGCGGTTAATCCAAAAATAAACTGTGCTTTTTGAGTCAGCAGCATCTCCGAAAACACACTGCAAGCGCTTGACAATATCAACAGTTTTGACTCCTTCCTTCCACAAAAAGAACATTATTGACCTTTGATTTTTCACCGTGTCTTCCATAATAGAAAAATAGCAAGGGACAGCACGGCCTATAACTCCAGAATAGACTGAGTGTATTGAATGGCATTGACAGGTCCTAATGCTTACATGTTGGCCTACGTATGGGCTGACTCTTGTTACCTTAGGTCAAATCGTTCTTGTTTAATAAATAAATTCCTATTACTTTTCGAACACCCCTCGTATATATAAAGACTCCCGTAATATGCCCTATACGCAGAAATGAGGAAGAAGTAATTTCCATGTTACCCTTATACGGAGATATGCTTATATTGAAAACATTGTAAAAAAGAAATGAGAAATGAAACACCGCCAATTTGATTTAAAACTGACCCTCATCAGAAGGCGACGATAAAATTCGTAAGATGAAAGGAAGAGGTCCATAGATTGTATCCCGCAAAGCAATGCAAACCACCCGTCGGCAGGTCGTATGATCTGGTAGAAAGAACCTGTACGACCCGCCGGCGGGTCGTATGACCCAGGAGGAGAGAGCCCTTGCGACCCGCCGGCGGGTCGTATGGCAGCGAAAGTGTTAAAGATCACAAGTGACCTGAGGTTAATGCACGAAGTGTCACAGTTTGGGCTGGAATCTGGTTGGGAGGTATCATGGGGATTCTTTTTTGTTGCAGTGGTCACTGGAGTTCATACCTAGTGCTCCCCACCAACAAGCTCTGTAGACACAACAATGACTAAATGAAAAATTTTCCTACTTTTGGATTGGACAGTGGCCCAATGGAGGGTCTCTTTATTCAATCCTCTGAGATCACTTGATTTGACACCACCTGATTTTTTCCTTTGGGAAGTATTGAAAGATCATGTGCATGGTAGGTGGCCATGGACTGTTTTTGCATTAATGGGTTGTTAAGTACAGCCCATCCAGGCCAAGAAAGGACCACTTTTAATCCACAAAGGAGACCAAGTAACTCATTTATTGTAATCAAGCCCTCAACCCCTTCCTTCCCTCTCCTCCAAATGTCATTCATGCCTACAGCCAAAGGGTGGGTTCAGTGGCATCCTGCTTCAAGTGGGGGAGGGGCAGGCCACCCCGACCCGAGATACAGATCCCTCAACATGCAACTTCTCGTAGACTGTCTTATGCTAAGCTTCCAAGTACGCCTTTGTGGCCCTTTTTAAGATTCTGTTCGGTCTCCTGCTGGGCTTTGAGAAGTTATAAGAAATGTCACCCCATTATGGGTCCATGTTGACTGGTCCTTTCTGGGTCTGGACAAGCTGTAATCATCAATTTGATCCATTGCTTGTTTGAATTTTTACCAGAGTGTTGTTCTGTTTCATCATGACTGCAAACATGTAAAGAAGTTGGCAATGTTCAAACTGAATGTTCTGAATGAAGTTATTTGCAACTTCCAATTGAGAATTTTCCAGGTATGTGGCATAATGATTTTTGGTCTCTCCTTTTTATGGTCTTTTTTGTTTCCAGAGTTCTGCTCCTTCAAAGAGTGGGTAGTTTATTTTTGGAACACCCTGTATATTTTAATTGTTGGCTGAATTTTAACAAATGGAAAGGCAGGACTTGTAAGAAATGTGGTAGTAATGGTCATGCTGTATGACCATTTGTTAAGAATTGTTGTTGGGGTGCAGGGAAGCGAGAGTGGAGAGAAGCATGCCATATATGTGTGGGACCAATTCCTCAAGGGAAAGGAGAAGAAAGTTGGTATCATTGCCCACAGCTATGGAGGAGTTGTTACCATGCATCTTGTGAGTTTTCTCTTGCTATTAACCCTTTGCACTTTGTTTTTCTCCCCATACTATAGACATTGTTGGGTCATGCCCTGCACCCTACAGAGTAAATATTGATCTAACTTCCTATTTCACATGAGAAATGCAAAGATTTCCTGAAAGAACATGATAACTTGGATGAAAAAGGTGCAATACTGGTGCATTAGGTATTGATGTGCATATGAATAATACAGAGTGGCACAAGAAAGGGCACTCTTTTCAATGCACATTTTAGGTGTGATGCTTTCAGGGATATTTTTTCCATTAAATGCAATGGAAGGAAGAAAGATTAGCTATAAAATACTTTTTTCCATCTTGCAATATCTTAAACTTAGAAACAAATTATTGTATTTTGGTTATGAAAAATCTGCATTGCACTCGCTAACTCTACCCAACATCCACTCAACAGCCTGATACTCATGAGAAGAGAGAGTGAAACACTGACAGCAGATGTGAGGATAATTGAATGTGCCTGTCGCCATATGTGGTAGGTAAGTGCAATGTTGATTTTTCACAACCAAAATCAATCATTTTTTTCTAAGTCACCTTAAGATACTCCCAAGTCTGAAAAAAGCCTTTTGTAGCTGAATCTTTCTTCTTTCCATTACATGTAACTGGGAAAAAATTCTTGAAAAAACACCTAAAATGGGCCTTGAAATGTGTGCCCCCTTTTGCTGGGCCACCCAATATGTTAAACTGCTGTCTCGTAGAGTCAGGAGATTATTCCATTGTGCTAAATATAATGCACTTGTGTATGTCTAGAAGCTGGATACTGGGGATGTGATGACAGATGAGGTAATTAGAGGCCTAGGTTACACATTTGTTGTTTCTTTTTATTGTGACAGCTGTCAGAGAGAGAGATGAGCTTCAAGTCTCAAGTGAAAGCCATTGCTTTGACTGATTCTGTGCACCGTATGGCCTTCGCTTCTAAATCCAGGCACAAGCATCTTGCCTTCCTCAAGGAAGTATGTTTTGCTTTCTTTTCTGCTTTGGTGGTACCTAACCAAAAGAGCATGATTAAGAAATTAGAAATTGAAATTTTGTTAGACATTGTATCATGGGCAGTGACATGATGGGATTGTTTTTGTTTGGGGTCTAAGTTGGGTAAAAGTTGGGACAGCCTGGTTCCAGTGGAGCCAAACCTTCTACTGCTCCCCAAATAGGCTGCTGAAATGATGTATGGATGTCTTTGGGGGTACATTTATGATGATTCAACCATCTGTTGGAAAAAGGAGTTTGGAGTGATGTGTCATGAGAAATGATTGGGTTTGAAAATAGGCTTCAGGCTGCCTTTATTACCCTTGTTGAAGACTATACAGGGTGTTGCAAAAGTTAGCTGTTTATTTATTTATTTATTTACATAACATTTAGTAGCTATTCTGGGAGAATAGATGTTCCAACTGGTGGCCATCACAGTTGACACATTTCTGGAAATGGTCCTTCACTCTTCTGCACACTTTCTGACACAGTTCCTTATTTTCATTAACCCTTTCAGACCTGAATTAAGGCTGCTATCGGAATAATATCCTTTTTTCATTCTTGAGCTCTTTCGTGATTGTAATTGAAATTTTTGTGCTTTATATGTCATTTTCATATTTTGTATAAATTTACCATATCATACCATATATATTATATATTTCATTAAATAACCAAAGATTAAAAAACTAATGTGTGAAAGAATGCCTCTGATGGAACTAAGCCATGCATAACTGCGCCCATTGTACCGTAATATGGAGGACAAAATCACGAGAATTCTAAGAATTTGCCATAGACACAATGTAAATGTAATGTCCATTGAAATGGATGCTAGGTCTGAAAGGGTTAATCTCATTGAATGCATCTGTGTCATCAAACAGCTAACAGTGTACCTACTTTTGCAGCACCCTGTATTAACATGGGATATTGTAACTTGAGCGTCCTTGGACCCCAGACAGCTGATTTTAATGATATTCAGTTTCTTCATTTTTGTTTTGCTACCTTTTTTGGAAAGAAGCTTATATGAGGAATAGGTATGATTATGACTGTCATGTATCACTTTCTCTTGTGCCTTGAAAGGTTCAAAGGTGGAAATGCCCCCACAGTCAGAATTCCATGTTGCCCTTTCATTATTAATTTCTTTGCCTTCTTATATCTACTTTCAACTGTGTCCATTCCTTTCATTGTTTGATGCCTAAAAGTAGACCCCATGTCTAATGAATCTGAGTCAAATTATAATCTCTTAAAAATCTGGTACATCAAGCTGGTTTGGTAGTGGCCTCAACTTACCAACTAAGTCACTGTTGGCATGGATAGTAACTGGTAACCATCATCTTTATATACACAGATGAGCCTTGTGAAATGATCCAAGAAAAATGCAACAAACCTTTGTCTCTGTCATTGCTTATTAGATTTTAATCATATGCACCAACTCTGAAACTGTCATTGGATCTTTGCTTGGGTGTAGTCAGTGCTTGATATAACAGACCTCTGCATAATGCATTCACCTTTTTGAAAAATTTTTTTCCAGTTCGAAGTCAATTGCTCATTCACATGTAAGTTAAAAATTTTCACTGTAATGAAGCTCTTCACAACAAAATGTTCAGTTTCAGTTTTTCACCCAAAAAGGGACAAAACCGTTATATATCATGAAGAATCTGCTGCACACATACAAGTTACTTTCTACCTTACATTCCTGGACATTTTTTATCTTGAATCTTTGGCTGTTTTTCAGTCAAATGCCAAATGTTAAGCCTGAAACTTTTCAAACATTCAGGGCTCAACAGGCCATGGGTCAAATAATTTTCTTGGAAGGAATGCAGCAGACAACTGTTTAGGACTTTATTTTCAACCTATAGACAGCATTGGTGACTCACTGAATTTGTATTACACCTACATAAGTAAATACTGCTGCGTGCACCCATTTAGGTACATATGTACATCTTGGAAGCTGTATTTTTGTAATATGACATGCTCTTAGACCTTTGCACTTTTTCATGAATGGTAATTACAAGGGGTGGTCAAAAAGTCATTTTAATATTTTCTCCATGGGGCAACTGTACATGCTACTGAACTTCTAACCATATTCAGTCCAAGGTTGTGTATTGTCCATCATGTAGTGGTCATTGTGAGTACAAACTCTTATCCCATTCATTGTGAGAACTGGAGATTGACTTGGTGGTGATGATATGCAAGGACAAGGATGGAGGCAGACAACCATGGACAGCGATAGAATGTTTGGTTCCTGTGGCAAGAAGGTGCTGACTGCTGACATCATGGAAAGGTTGTAATCTGTGGTGAACATGCACCAACTGCCCAGACAGTTTACAACTGGGTGTGATCTATCAAGGAGGGACATATGACATCTGCTGATGCACCTTGCTCAGGTCATCCCAGCATGTCCACCACTCCCACACATGTAGATGAGGTTCACATTCTTTCAGATCTGTGTGTGAGGATAGAGGACCTTGTGGCACTAACAGGGATATCCCATGGTTCCCTTCATGCAATCACCCATGACCACCTGGGTATACAGAAGATGTGTGCTCGTTGGGTACCCAAGAACCTTAAAGGTGACATGAAAACCCATAGCTTGGAGGACAGCACTGCACTACTGGTACTCTATGATGCAGATCCAGATGTCTTCTTTGGAAGACTCGTCACTGCTGACGAGACCTTGTTTTATCACTATGAACCAGAGACAAAGGCACAATCAAAGCAGTGGAAGCATTCACACAGCCCACCTTCCAAGAAAGTCATGACAACTCCATCTGCTGGGAAGCAAATGGCTACTGTGTTTAGGGACTGTCATGAAATCATACTCATCAATTGGTTACCTAAAGGTCACACAATCAAGAGTGATGCATATGTGGCCACCTTGACGTGCTTACACAGGGTGATTCAGAAGTGCCCCGGCAAATGGGTGACAAAGGTCCTGCTCCAGCATGACAACACTTGCCCACACAAAAGCAGGCAGACCACAGAGACATTGGCAGACTCTGGTTTCAGATGGTCCAACATCCCCCATACTCCCCTGAATAAACCCCAGGGATTATTGGTTTTTTGGCAGCATGAAGGAGCCTCTGCAGGGACAGCACTTCACCACCATGGAGGCACTAAAGGAAACTGTCTGGCATTGGGTGCAGAACACACTGAAACGGTGGTTCACAGATGGCCTCCAGAAGCTCTCACATTGTTGGAAAAGGTGCATTAAATTAGGGGAGGACTATGTTGAGAAGCTGCATTTGTTAAACTTGTGTTCCATCATTAGTATGTGTGAATGTGGAAATAAAAGTACTTTTTGACTGCCCCTTGTACATTCATTTTTGCAATGAATTACGGTTTGAAGTGATATTCAGAAGTATAACAGGTTTTTTTCTACAAAATATGGGGAATTCCTCCAAAAAATTTTCTGTATGAATTTTTTTTTTAGCCTATACCTATTTGCTATATTGAGCATCTACTGCATATCAGGAGTTTCTTCATTTTCAACTCATCAAAATTGGCTTACTGTTTCTCAAGCTTCATTGGTGGTATTATTGACTTGCTGGGAACTTGCACTTAAATTGGGGAGCAATAGGAAGGTTCCTTAGATGTAATTCTTAAACTTGTCTCATGTATTCACTTTATGCATAGAGTGTAAAGATTGTGTGTTTATTGCTAATGGGAAATAATTTTTTTTTAGTGATAGTGACATTTGACAATTCTAAGCATGGCATAGATCATACAATGACTGATTATGACACTAAATGACTTATTGACTGATTTTTACTCTTAACAAGGGAGACAAATGGCTGTGCTTCTTCATGTTCATGCATCATGATATCCAGTCTGTGTGGGAAGTGATATATGATAATTTTCTCCACATGGGAAAGAAACTTTTCTTGGAAAGACTCTAGTTAGCCCATGGCAGATATATCTCTATTTCATCCTCAGAATATTTAATACATGTTTTATTTGATGCAAAGGGACTCTAGCTTCATTGAAGTTAGATAGAAAGCATGTGGTTTTAAAGTGGAAGGACTGTACTTAACACTTAGAACTCTCTTCATGCATGCCTATGTGAATTGCAGTTTTAGTCCTTTCCTGTGTGACTTTACTTCTGAAGATGGCTCTTGGGTTTGGACTGGGGGGAGGGGGAAGTCACTGATCCTATCTTCTCCTAATACACCAACTTACCTTGAATATATCCACTGCTGCGCTTATGTCTAGTTGCTCTATATGCAGACATAGTTCATTGGTAAGTAGTAAGAATTGTGTTGCAATTGCAATTTGCAATTTTTTAAAAAGAACTTGCTACAGAGTACATTCTGACCTTGTAATTAGTCATCTTTAGTGAGTGTGCAGTGTAAAGAAGACAGTGTTAGACATCTTTTGTAGGTATGTATTATAAATTTAATGTTAATAATAGGAAAATTGTAGAAGTTACTTTTTTTTTTATTAATAAACAACAGGAGTTCTTAGACATCATGTAATTCAGCTAGGACTGAGAGTGTTACCTATAATGGAGCAAATGCCCAAATGAAAGAGATGAAACTTCCAGGTTTTAGTGACTTGATAAACTAAAATGGAATAACTCTTTGCTATCACAGAATATCATAGTGATTGTCCCAAGGTATCATCATGAAATTTCATTGCTGCCAGTAGTCTTTTGTGGATTGATGATGGATGCCTAAGGCAAATACTTCTTAATGCCCACCCTGCTACCTTTAGAATTCCAAGAGTCTGTTAGCATACTGTTTCATTTATTTGCTATTGGATCTGCTATATCTGTTCTTCACTATGGAATTTTATATTGTTATTTTTTGCTTTCAATTGGTTAACTCTTGTATTACATTTATTGTATATATTTATGTTCTGTTTGATATTTTGTAGTTCTTTTTATGCTATATTTTCATTTATGTTAAATTTACAAAATTAACAAACTTTTTCTTGCCTGATGATACTAGAATCATCTTTGACTTCCTATCCTGGGCCACCTGAAGATTAGGTCATCCAAAGAAATTATCTTTAAATAACCTCTATATGTGAATTTTTCAACGATTGCACTCTGAAGCATGAGACAGTGTCAAGGAAGATGTGTGCAACTATCC